AAAAAAAAAAAAAAAAAAAAAAAATTGTCTTTGCTACTTTGGGCCCTATGTTATTTTACATGAATTTTAGAATCAACCTTATGACCAACTCTTTTGGGATTTTGACTGAAATTGTTATTAGTTTATAGATTAATTTGAGGAGAACTGATATTTAGTTCTTCTAACAGTCTTTCAACATGTTACCCGATTTTCCCCATAAAAGTCTTCTACATCTTTTGATTTATTTCCATGTATCACAAGTCATGCCTACAACTGTGGGATTTCAGAATATCTGTGGCATAGCCACCGTGTTGGGTCCATGCACATAAATACGTACACAGATACATTTCTCCACATTCATCTGCCTGTAAAAGGACATTCATTATATTCTCAACAAATCTGAGCTTACACAATTCTCAGCAAGTTCATCCAACAATTTTTCCACTTTTAACACCAATTATTTAAAGACCTTTGACTTACTAGTCTGTGCAACGATGTTGGTATGTTTTCGTAACATGGCAGCCGCAGTCTCAGAGAGGGTCACGATGACTTCAAGGGCAAGCTGGCGCTGCATATTGTTGAGGCTGGTGTCTCCACACAACTACAGAGAAGATGTATTTGTATATAGTTAGTAGTGTAGATTATTCATTGAAAAGAATAAACAGAACATTTACCGAAATGCCGAATTTACCTTTAAACTTAGCTGTAAAGTAGCTTCTAAGTGAGGACGCAAATACTTTGGAACGGTATCCGCAATCTCAACAAGGGATTTGAGGACTGAATCGTCATTCTGGTAGCATGAGTCATTCACAGCCTGAAAAAAATCAAAGAGAAAAGAAAAAAGGTCTACGTTCAAGAGTCACTTTATAGATGTGATGCCTCACTGTCAAAACATTAAGAGGCAGACAACAGAATAATATTATTGAAGAGTATTTTTCACTAAATAACTTATCAATCTACAGAACGCAAAATCTCATAGCCACATGTATACCTTCCTTTTGACTAATATTCACTAGAAACATACAAAGATTTAAATCTAAGTCAGAATTATAGTAACCAGCACAACAAACTTAGGGCTATCAAGGAATTCTTTTCATAACCAGAAGGAATCCCTTTCCTCTGTCCCTCCAATATCCGTATCTTTGTCTTTTTCAGACATGCAGTAAATACTAGACCCTATGATACATTTAAAGTGTCCAGGGACACCTGGGCGGCTCAGTCAGTTAAGTCTCCGCCTTCGGCTCAGGTCATGATCCCAGGGTCCTGGGATTGAGCCCCACATCGGGCTCCTTGCTCAGCGGGGAGCCTGCTTCTCCCTCTGCCTGCTGCTCACCCTGCTTATGCTCTGACAAATAAATTAAAAAAAAAAAAAAGTGTCCATTATTACTCAATTTGTTTCTCTTTGACATCAAGTTAGCTCACTGTGGTATTTAAGTGTACATTTTGCATCTACCATTGCCTATTTCAGAGTGACAACTCCTAGAAGTTTTGGCTAACATTTTAACTTACTTTAAATTCAGGGGAAGAAAAATCTGAGATTAGACTTAAGCAGTGAGTACCTCACAAAATTTTTAGGTAATAATCTACTAAAACGATATAATGGAAAAGTTTGTGTTTGTCACTGACCTAAACCATCTTTTCAGCTTGACAGCATAGGGAGAAAAGTTTCTACTAAATCCTGCAAAATTAACCTGAAACATGCAGAATTCACACAGGACTTTTCAGTCAAATCCTCTCTAACCCAGTGGTTCTCAACGGGGACACTATTTCTCCCAGATTTTTTGGTTGTCACAATGACCGAGGAAGGGCAAAAGTCAGGGTTCCTAGATGTCCCACATCTGTGATGCAAATGCTTCTGACGACCTCATATGACCTTACCATGCATCTCACATGATCGTAAAAGTCAGATACTTCTAAAAATGAAAAACTCATTTATAATGATCTGAACCTAAAACCCAACTCACAAATTATTTTTTGTCTGGTTTTAATGTACCAGGACTCCCCCCGCCCCCAAATGTATATACTGTATATGTTAAAAAAAAAAAGAAGATAGTAGGAAGAGAAAAATGAAGGGGGGATTCAGAGGGGGAGACAAACCATGAGAGACTATGGACTCTGAGAAACTGAGGTTCTAGAGGGAAGGAGGGTGGGGGGATGGGTTAGCCTGGTGATGGGTATTAAAGAGGGCACGTTTTGAATGGAGCTCTGGGTGTTATACGCAAACAATGAATCATGGAACACTACATCAAAACTAATGATATAATGTATGGTGATTAACATAATAAAATAAAATTAAAAAAAAAACAAACTGCACAAAGCACGCACACATGCACACGTGCACACACACACACTCATTGGGGGCGGGGGGGGGAGAATGAACACATACTTTGTTTTGTCCAGATTTTTACCATTTCTGGAAATCAAATCATCAATACTAACAGGATTCCTGGTGTTTGCCTTGCCAATGATATCTATCAGTTCACATGTTTAGCTACCGTGTTTGTATAAGGCACTTAAAAATCACCTAGTCTATGTCTTTCGTTGTAGTCATGCCCTACCATTTATAAATTGAAAAGCATGCCATTTTACAGTTTAGTTCTTTCTTTTTATTTCTTCTTTGTGTTAACTTAGGGCAATATATTTTTATTTTTAAAACTTGTATGTGTACATAAGCATGTTACCCACGCACTTCAAAACAGAATATGCAATTACAAAATAGGGGTCTAACAAGTTGCTCTAACTTACCCAATCTTATTTTACTTTCTGAATGAGGCAGAAGGTAACCTTAAAATAATAACACCCTTTGGATTCAGTAGTGACAATTAACCATAAACTAGTCACTTCATAGTATAAACCTTTACAAGACCTGGGTTTAAGAGTAAGGACTGCTGTCCAATTTGGGTTTGAATCATGTATCCATCACTTACCAACACTGTGATCTTGGGCAAGTTTCTTATCCCACCCTCTTTAGTTTCTCCTTATGTAAAATGGGCATTACATTTTATAGGTTATTTGGTTGATTCTAAGGCAATAACCTATGTGATTACATATTCAATAATAGCCATAAATTGCTTTCATCATTTATGTTATAGAAAAATTTTAAAACCCTAAATATTTTAAGAGACTAAGAGTCTATGAAGGGCAAGAGATCTAAGTTCAATGGGGACAGAGATTTGCATGTTTTGTGCACTGCTGAATCCCTGGCATCTAATGCCAGCACACAGTAGGCAACAGATATACTGAATAAATGAATGCACTAGAAAACTCTGATGAGACTTTAAACTATAGAAAACCAATAAACATATAATTATCACTTATTTTATACTATTTCCTTACCTGTAAGAATCCAGGTAACAAGTCTGCAAAATGTTTGAATAGAGCAACGTTATGCTCATTTGCAAGTATAAATGCAGCTGTTGCTCTAGCAGATAATGTCCTGATCTAAAATGAAGACAGTAAAATAAGTCAAATATGAGAAATTTCTCCCATCCAAGTACTAATCAAGCCCAATTTCTGATGGATGCAGGTTCAAGATTTCTTAAGATGAAAATTTTCTTCATCAGTAAAACTAGTATTTATATTTTAAAGTATTAAAACTAAAGACAATCTCCAAAATACATATATTTCTTTCACAAGTTAAATGTTGTATTAAATTAGGTGTTAATATTAATGGCATTGAAATTATTTACCGATGGATGTTCCTGATCTTGCATACACTGAACTAACATCCGTTTGATAACGTCTAAATAGTGCTGCTGTTGGTTCCCAAAAATTCCAGGAAAATTCCTAAAAAAGATCCAAAATGACATCATATTTTAGTAAAGCGTCAGCTAGAACATGTAATGCTCTAATCTAACCTTAAACATCAGCCTGACCCAAGTGTGCATTAACCTTGAAGGTTGAACATCATCTACCCATCCTCCAAGCAATCCTCTTTTGGGGTTGGGCAAATGCAACAAACAGAGCAGAGAGGATTAGGCTGGGAGCAGGGGCAATCCAGGTGCGTGCACACATTACCCAGCAGCCAATCCCAGCCCCATGCTTTATCCTTATCACTCTGTCTCCTTAGGAAGGTGACCTGGAGTGCAAGACGGGACAAAAGCAAGTACAAGGTTTCAGATGGTAGCTGCAGTAACCGTACTGCCTGACAATCTGCTCCTAGGCTCGGTCAGTGATCCAGGTCGTCCAAATTCTGCTTTACTTTAAATGTGGTTAACAATTACACTGAATACTTTCAATTAATTCATTCTCTACTCTGGATTACCAATATAGGTATGATACATCTGACAACTGAAGTAGAAAATGGTGTAATAGCTACCCTTATCCTCTTTTGATGCTCAAGGTAGATCTCATTTTTAAAAGTATACAATCTTGAAAAGCTATAAATCCAATTATATTTTTACTGTAGAACTGTATAACATGGACAAAATTTTTCTTAGTGCAGATAATTGTAATTCTAAACTTAGACCATTTGCTTATAAATATACAGGAGTTTATTAAAATACTGCATTTTTATAAAGTTTAGTTATAAAAGACCCAGAAAACAATGGGGATTCACCAGCCTTTTCTCTCCTCAAAATTTCATCATTCAAGTGGTTTTTAAAAGATATATTTATATTTACTACTGTGTCAATCTCCAAATAAAGGAGAAGAAACTGTCTTTCATGGAATCATAAAAGACCAAGGAAAGAAAAAAATTGCAGAGGACCCTTGTATACAAAAAAGGATTATAAAATAAAATTAAAAGCTTTGTGTTTTTTCAATTTTACTTCCAACACAAATACAAAGCTCATCTAAAGGCCTTATTTAAGTCTAAAAAGTCAGAATAAAACAAATCAATTAAAATGTGCTTTGCACATTCATGACATTCAATTTTTCAGGAAAATAAGATCAATGAATGTACCAGAAAATGTGAAGGGCAGCTTCCCGCAGTCCCATATTTTGAGAGCTCACTGAATCAAAAAGGAACTTCAAACCTTCAGGCCACTGGTTGTTGCCATCCTCATCTAAAAGTAAAGAAATCCAGGCACAAAGTGTGTAAATCAAAACTTCAAAAAAATGAAGGGTGAATCTTTTCATTTCATAAGCCTCAAAGTAGGTAGTAGTAGGAAATGTCACAGGCTCTGTATTTTTAAAAAAATCCTAATAAAATTAGATTCTTTACCCATAAACATGGCAATCTAATCTTGTAAAAAGGAACTGTGCTTTTGGATTACGTAAGCACAGATTATCGGCAGTGGTTATTTCTAAGGAATAGCATTTGGAGAAAAGGTAGCACTATGACTATTTGATTGGTTAAATCTTTTATTTATACTATTGCTATTAAAGAGTTTTTTAAGATTTTATTTATTTTTGTGAGAGAGTGGGACTTGATCCCAGAATCCTGGGATCATGACCTGAGCCACAGGCAGACGCTTAACCAACTGAGCCACCCAGGCGCCCTTGTGGGTTTTTTTGTTTTAAGATTTTATTTATTTATATATACTATTGCTATTAAAGAGTTTAAAAAGTAGGCAAAGTTAATATTTGGTATCAAGGTCTTGAAGCCAAAACACTGTAAATATGCCTTCAAACTGGAGAAGACCCAGGAGTGGGAATCCTAGGACCCAGAGCAGTACTCATGCTACTAAGGTGTTGATTTTAAAATAAAGAATTTTTGTGGTACTTTGTAATAAAAATGAGCGACCACACAAATTTGTACCAGTTAAAAGACTCAACAATCATATTGTCACAGAGAATTTTAAGAGTTGTAGAAATTACAGATGAGTTATATATGCACTTTTTCTTTTAAAAAAATTTCCCTCCCTATTTGAACTTTTCTGAAATGACAAATGTGCTACTCAGCTGACATTAAAAAAAAAAATACCCTAATCAGTCCCTTTAAACATAAAGATCGTGCTTGGGGGTCAAGGGGAATGAAAGCTCTATTAAAAAAAAAAAAAAAATCTATGGAGAGAGTACTTTGAAACATTTTGGAAACCTTTCCATTATTGTGATTCTGAATTAGATGTCACCTATAAAAATTTTATCTGCACACTTAAAAAAACGTGAAAAGAGATTTTCTAGGCTACCTAAAAATTCAAATTTAAAGGCTTCAGTGGGTTTTGAACTTAAAGTAAAAAATTTAACGAACAGGAATATTTTTAAGAATTGGTTGATATCAGTCAACTGACTTGAACAAGAATTTTGGCATTATTGGTAGTGGAGATTAAAAAATTAGGGTCATACCCTAATACCCAACAATTGCACTACTAGGTATTTATCCAAAGCATACAAAAAAGTGGATTCAAAGGGGCACGTGCACCCCAACATTTATAGCAGCACTATCAACAGTAGCCAAATTATGGAAAGAGCCCAAATATCCACCGACTGATGAATGGATAAAGATGTGGTACACACACACACTGTAGTATTACTCAGCCATCAAAAAGAACAGAATCTTGCCACTTGCAATGAAATGGATAGAGCTACAGTGTATTATGCTAAGTGAAGTAAGTCAGAGAGAGAGAAATACCGTATGATTTCACTCATATGTGGAATTTAAGAAATAAAACAGATGAACACAAGAGAAAGGAAGGAAAAATTAGATAAAAACAGAGAAGGAGGCAAACCATAGAGACTCTTAGCTATAGAGAACAAACCGAGGGTTCCTGGAGGGGAGGTGGGCTGGGTATAGGCTAGATGGGTGATGGGTATTAAGGAGAGCACTTGTTGTGATGAGCACTAGGTGTTGTATTTAAGTGATGAATCACTAAATTTACTCCTGAAACCAATACTACATTATATGTTAACTAAGTATTAAATTAAAAAAAAAATTAGTGTCATGATTAACTAATAAGCACACCAACAATATTCTCCCATTTAGCCCTTATCTTAGTGAGGCATCCTTTTCAACCTTTAAAAATGCTGCCTAATATGAACTCAGTTAAAAATCATATCTATGAATGGGGTGGCTGGGTGGTGCAGTCGGTTAAGCATCTCTTGGTTTCAGCTCAGGTTGTGAAATTGAGCCCTGTGCTGGGCATGTCCATGCTCAGCGCGGAGTCTGCTTAAGATTCTCTCTCCCCTCTCCCTTTGCCCCTCCTTCCCAACTCTCTAATAAATAAATTTTTTTTTTTTTAAGATTTTATTTATTTATTTGACAAAGAGAGATACAGCGAGAGGGAACACAAGCAGGGGGAGTGGGAGAGGGAGAAGCAGGCTTCCTGCGGAGCGGGGAGCCTGATGCGGGGCTCGATCCCAGGACTCTGGGATCATGACCTGAGCCGAAGGCAGACGCTTAACGGCTGAGTCCCCAGGTGCCCCTAAATAAATCTTTTTTTTAAAAAAAATCATATCTGAATCTGTCAAAAAAAATAACAAAGCATATTCAATTACTTAGTATTTTTTAGTGTGACCAAAAAGGGTTTTGATGGTTGGTAAAATGCATTTTTAGTGATTTTCCTTTTATTTCATTGTTTAAAAATATTTTGGGGGTATTTCATAAAGTATATGGTATAGTGGTATAATAGCCTATGTGCATAATTTACTAATACACAAATGTAACAGCAAGAGCTCCTGGAGTCCACTGATTTTTACTTCTGTTGGCAAGTTTAATCTACAGAGTAGGTTGTAAATTACACTGTGCTTTCAAAACTTTACAGATTACGGAGGAAATAAAACTGACAATTTTTAAGCAAACTACAAAATTATTTCTCCATACAGATGTTCTGAAGACCAACAGGTAGGTGTTATGACTATACTCCACAAACATCTGTCATTTTTGGCTCTAAATGCAGAATCCATAATCACTCTCAATTCGAACAGAATAAATGGTACTCAGGTACTTGCGAATCTTCCTTTGAGAAGACTCCACTTAAAAAAAGGATATACTCATTTTCTTCTATAACATAATAATGAATGTATCTGCATACATACCTATTAAATTCCTGGCCAGCTCTGCAGCAATATCACAAATTTTTTTCCTCATGCTAGACTGGGTTTCCATTTGAATAATCATCAGTAGTTCACTCTTGATGGCAGTCTGAACATCAGAAGGAAGAGTTGGATAGACTTCATCAAATGCAGAGGACAAAAGACGTCTTAGGAGAACAGCAGCCATTTGTCTAGCCTATAAATGGATAACGTGGTTAATAACTTGGTGTCTTACAAGAGAAAAACATTTCCAACAAACTACATTCACTCTACCATTGATGTATTTTACTATTCTATTTTTACAATTCATTTCAAAAGCACTTAGATTTTTTTTTAAATAGGTAAAATACAGAAAACTCTACCACATTAGCCTACTGTATAGAAAATGCTACCCCAAAGCTATTTTTTGTTCACAGCTAAGGAAAAACCTCTGAACACATCAGATTACAAATAGGAAACATCTTAGCAATGATGAAACTGTCTTTAATTTCTATTTTTAATACATTCTTTAAAGAAAAAGAAATTAATATAAACTGCAACCCTTAGAATGCTCTTTTCCTACTCCTCCATCTGGCTCTCATTCTAGTGTACCTCATCTTACTCCCAGCCTGGCCTATCTCGCTTTATCACAGTCCTTTCATTAGCCTCTTAGATAACATGCTATCAAATCCATTTATCTTTATGCTTCATTCGAGCAAACAAACATTACAAGTTTCTAATGCCTAAAAGTGCTAATCAATCTCAATGTGTATACTTATCCCATTTAAAAATCTGTACAATATATTTAAGTTTGGCATTTTCTGTATAATATTCCCTTAGATTACCCAAAGACAAATACCGTTCTAAAATTTTATCATATTAAATCAATAGGCCATTGAAACTATTAAACCCAATTTTTCATGTTTTCTTTCATTTCCGGGCTGCAGCAACTCATTATCACTATAATCAGTATGGGACTGTGACCAAAAAAAAGGAGTTAAGCTACACAAATAAAACGTGCCAATTTTTTCTCAAGTCACTTTTCAATGAATCTTTTTATTTGAATTACTTTTGGCAAAGAGCAAACTTTTAAAGAAATCTTTAATGCTCTAGAAAGGATTCAAAATGGTTAAAATCCCTGTAAAAGTAGTTCAAGTTTATGCAGTTCTCACACTTACATTGACAACTATGAAGCCACAATCAAGATCCTGAGGCTAGTTCACAATCATCTAATTCCTAAATCAAATCAAGATTTAAAAAGGGTTCAATATAGGTTTTTTAAAATAAAATTCGATAGTTTTTAGTAGTATTTATTCTTGGCTTTAAAATTTGTTTCATAGTGGGTGTGCCTGGGTGGCTAAGTTGGTTAAGTGTCTGCCTTCGGCTCAGGTCTGATCCCAGGGTCCTGGGATCGAACCCCATATTGGGCTCAGCGGGCAGTCTGCTTCTTCCTCTCCCTCTGCCCCTTTCCCCTGCTCATTCCCTCTCTCTCGTGAGTTCTCTCTCTCTCTCAAATAAATAATACCTTAAAAAAAAAAAATCTGTGTCATAACTAACTTGATTCAATCTTCCATAATTAAAATAGCCAACTGTTTTTAGAGATTTAACTTATGTTTGTTCTTCATATTTGACTCATTTTGAATTAAAGGATACAAAGGTGAAGAAGCGCCTTCTGTCATCTATTTTTAAAAACTGGGGCACTTTTATACTGTTTTCTAAGCATTACCAAAGAATTTCAAATTGCCAATTTAAACTAATTGACCACAAGAAGTCAGGTGTAATACTATGTGGAAGTTTAGTGTGACTCCATTTCCATCATGTTTTAATATTAGTAAAGAAGTCTCACTATACAAATCCCCCCCCCTTTTTTAAATTATCTTTATGCCCAATGTGGGGCTTGAACTCATGATCCCAAGAACAATAGTTGTATGCTCTATCAACTGAGCCGGCCAGGCTTCCCTCACTTTACAAATTCTCAATTCCATGTTTCAGAGGTGGGATTGGTTTTCTAGACTTGGGATATTTTGACAAATTTTCCAAAATAAAGAAAACATTCACTTAACATTTAATATATATAAGGATATTACTTTTGGGAAGAAAAAAAATCCACTAAATGCATAGAAAAGCGATAAGAAACAATAAATTTGAATTTGGCATAGTAACAAGGTCATTTGCTAAAAACCATGATTTATAAAGGATTCAACAAAGTGTCTCTTTGTTCCTAAACATCTTTAGCATATATTCTTCAATACTTAGAGACGACTATAAAGCATAAAAATTTTAAAGACAGAATACATATTTTCTCAGAAACATTTGGCAACACATTACAACACGGAATGAATTAATTTCCTCCCTTAGAATGAATTGTTTCAAGGAAGAAAATTTTTTTATAGCTACAGAAATCACTTAAATTTAATAAAATTTTATGTAATTATTTGAAAACCATTAACTTAAATATCCTGGACACATCACCTGACACAGAAAAAAGAAATTTCATTCTTAATACAGGGTACTCAAAAAAACTGTAACTGCAAAATAGCTTTTAGCAAATACTAAGTTCAAAGTTCTGGTAACGTCTATGCAGTAAATAACAGTTCTCATTACCCACACGGACCACCATCTAATACCCAACTTGTTTTGTAATAATGTCGTATTCTCAAATACTAAATTAGTACCTCCTCAGCAGCTGTTGTATTTCTGATGGCTTGTAAGAGAAATGTGATCTTTGACTGGCCTGGGATATTCTCATAGGTTTCCTATAGGAGAAAGAAAAACGTTTAAGGTTAGAATATGTTAAAAAAATGTCATGAGCACATGAGTGAAAAGAAATGAAACGAAGACTGGGCAAGGTCCATGCACGAGAAATCATGTAATCTAGGTCTGTTGGTAAAATTTCCCCCTGTGACACAAAATACACTTCAGCTGGTTAGGAAAGTAGGTCCAGAGAGTGACTTTCAAGCTCCCTTCCACCTTTAGCTCTTAGGTTTTTCTAATGTATGTGCACATTTTCCCAACTTTTGCTTCTTTTATAAACAAAACTCAAGGTGAAAGAGGGCCAAAAAATTCTTAAATGTGACCTGAGCTACCATGCTGTAAAGTAAGTGCTCACCTAATATCCCTTTACATCATGGAAAACTACTTATCTTGTCAACATTTTCTAGATCAGATGATGTAGAATTGGTTCAAGTTACCACTACTTACAACCACCACAGACATATCTCAGATGAAGTAAATCCAAGAAAGGGAAAGAAAGTATTCAAATTCTTTATGCTACTTTTTCTTTCAAGCAAGGATTATACTAAAACTTATATACATAAATAAATGAATATGGCCAGGAGACTTAAATCTAGGTTTTGTGAGTCAGGGCACTTCTTTCCTTCTCCATGAATAATGTAAAATGAGAACAAATTGGTTAACAATAAAAAGTTGACACTAATCCAAATATGGATTGTCAGATGCACTTATACCAATTCTAACAAGAGTAGTCTTTTACTGTGGAAAATACATCATTCTTTGAAATACACTTGGAATTGTTTTCCCCAAGAAGACGTTTACCTTGTCGGCTCTCTAAGAGCTACCACCCCTATAACTACTTGGTTTCTCAGGGGGCCTGGGTGGCTCAGTTGGTTAACTACTTGGTTTCTCTGGACAGAAGTGACAAGGACAAGGGAGGGAACAAAGGGTCTCCCTGAATCCACATCTACCTTATTATAACTTTTATTAAGTGCTCTGTGGCATCCCTGAAATATTGACAGGTAAGGAAATAAAGGCTCAGAAGTGAAATGACCTGCCCAAGGTCACATACAATAAGCAGTAGAAAGAACTCTGGTTTTCTGAGGCCAGCTGTACTCAAAATCTCCTTAGCACTGAACGCTCTTTCCGGGTTTCACTCCTGGGATCTGTCTGACTCCACCAACCAACCAGTTCTATTTATACAGTGCTACACAGTTCTCAAACTTCTCAAACATATCTCAATCCGAAGAATACATGTGGGGGAAAGGAGAATTCAAAATCTTCCGACAACCTCAAGTTCTTCTCAAGTACCTAAGCACACAGGAACACAATGATGCAGAAAACTGTGACAAGCATTTACAGCTGAGGAGAGAAGATGGTCTGGATTCATGTAGACAGAAATGAGGTAATTTATGTAGAGATATTCATAAGATGATTGCAAAAATGGATATGTACCTTGAGGTTTCTCACTTAATCTTTATGAATGCAACTGAAAGACGGGTTATGGTCTTTTCATTTAAACAGTCTCTCACAGGACATAAAAATGCCTTTTTATTCTTTGTACCTATCTTAGATGCTATAAATGTTTAACACTTTCATTTCCAGTGGTCTAAATCAAGTTTCAGAAAAAAAATTCCTTACTAGGATATCACTCTCAGAAAACCTTGCCCAGCTGGGACTATAAGTTTGACAGTTCTACTATGCTAATTCTAGTAGACACTTACAAACATTAAGTCAAATACTGAACTCTATTCCATAAAGAATTAAGTCAATGGAGAAAGAGTTTAGTTATGAGTGACATCTGATTCCTGAGAGAGGGTTCTCCCCATTTGTTATGTTCCACTGTGGCAATCCAGATATTGTATTACATTTACACCGTAACACTGGTCAAGGATAATAGTTTGGCAAAAAGAACAGCCTTAAAATCAAGTTATTAGCCTAAAGAGACTGAGTTCCACCAAAACAGGGATGGTATCTCTTTCTCCTCGTATTCCCAGCACACTGGAGTGCAGCAAATACAAAGAACACACATATAAAGACTATATAAAAATATAAAGACTCTTTCTAAGAATATTCCTAGCACCAGGCCAGGCAGGTTCAGTGAATGTTGCCAGTGTCATGGCAAATAGAATTTCAACTCCATTTGATTTCACCATGCGCAATCACACAATGCAAAGCAGATTTCACCTCCCCCTTTCCTGCCCACAAAGAAGAAATGCTAATCAGTACTTACTTCACTCATTCCATAAATATTTATCATGAGCCTACCTTGCATATGAAGAGGGGACAAGTTTTACCTAGTAAACACCCTGGTTCCTCAAAAATCAAGTACATTTTTCAATGTTACCTTCCTCCAATTAAAATCTCATTAATGAAGTTCTATATTAGAATCAATGAAAAACAAAGTCAATGGAAAAAATAAGAATGTAAAATCCATGCATATGATTAATAAAATACTTAAGCTTATGTCATAAAAATGTCTAGTTATGAATGTCATGGACATTCAACTTTGTATTACCTGTCAACTACTTACTCAATTGTTTATTCATGTTATTGTATTTTGAGACTTAGGGAATTGAAATCATTTCTTCAAGCATCAGAAACATTTTTTGTAAAGTTAAAGAGAAAAAATCCTTGAAGATTTAACAGACATAAAATATAAAGCCCACCACATTGTTTATACAATGGAAGTTTTAAAAACTTTTAAAAGTTTTGAAAAACTTTAATGTTTTCAATATATTACAATAAAAGTCTTCTACTGTACTTGATTTCACATTTGAATATAAAAGAAGTCACCTTACTCGACAGTTTGGTATTTGTGTCAATTAAGTATTTTTTAAATCTTTTTTTCAAGATTTTTTTTTTTATTTATCTGACAGAGAGAGACACAGCGAGAGAGGGAACACAAGCAGGGGGAGTGGGAGAGGGAGAAGCAGGCTTCCCGCTGAGCAGGGAGCCCGATGTGGGGCTTTATCCCAGGACCCTGGGATCATGCCCTGAGCCGAAGGCAGAAGCTTAACGCCTGAGCCAGGCGCCCTCAATTAAGTATTTTTATTTTGACGGAGTAAATTACAAAGATATTTACTGACCTTTTGCCAATTCTTTAGTTAAAAAAAATTTATTTGCTATTTCAGATAGTAATACTCCATTTAATTTAGTTTGATTACTTATAAACAGCTCATTTCATAAGGCAAAAAAAGGGGTATTAAAATATCATTATATGCAGCTATTTATTTTTCAAATAATATTTTGCTTTCTTAAGAAGCTCTATTTACAGTCCAGCTTTGTGTTATATGAGACCAGGAAACATCCCCTCTAACATTTACCTTTTTTGGTGTCAAATTAAGAATATTCTGGGGCACCTGGGTGGTTCAGTCATTAAGGTCTGCCTTAGGCTCAGGTCATGATCCCAGGGTCCTGGGGTCGAGCCCCGCATCGGGCTCCCTGCTCAGCGGGAAGCCTGCTTCTCCCTTTCCCACTCCCCCGCTTGTGTTCCCTCTCTCGCTGTGTCTCTCTCTGTCAAATACATAAATAAAATCTTAAAAAAAAAAAGAATATTCTATTTTATAATACCTAATTTACATATTAATATGTTTCCGATATATACAAAGAAAGTAAAAATGTACTACCTGAATGATAGGAATAGAGACTAACAGTACAGTTGATCCTTGAGCAACATGGGTTTGAACTGTGCGGGTCCACTTATATATGGATTTTTTATGAATACAGTACAGTACTGGAATGTCTCTTCTCTGCTTTTGATTTTCTTAACATTTTTTCTCTAGCTTAGTTTGTTGTAAAAATATAGTATATAATATGCATAACATACAATATATGTGTTAATTGGCTGTTTATGTTATTGGTAAGACTTCCAGTCAACAGGAGGCTATTAGTTAAGTTTTTGGGGAGTCGGGGGTGTGGGGGCTGGTGTCCCTGACCTCTGAGTTGTTCAGTGGTCAACTGTACTTTTCAATTGTTCTTTATGAGAAAATGTGCTGAATGCTCCTAACTATCCCCAAAGTGATGGAAGTGATAAAAGATTTACAACAGGCACCAATTGGAATTCAAGCTGAACCAGACACTGGTATTTAGTTCAATAGAAAAGAGATTCCCCACTAGGCTTGACAATAGAGACTTAAGCAACTGGAGGGAAGAGGGAGAATTAAACTCGCTTACTAATTACAATGCTGTTCTGCTTTGTAATACATGGCAATTTCTATTATGGGTTGGGATTAAGAACTTATTTTGGTGAAAAATTACCTCCAGAGTTAGCAAAATGCATTAAAGTGTTTTTATAGGCATCATCACATCCCTCTGACAGGAGTGCAAACTGATGCAACTAATCAATGCACATTACTTCCAAGGACAAATGCTACTTTTAAGTATTCCACAAGTAAAGCCGGCAAAGTCTGAAAAGATAGGTATGCATGTATTCCCATTTTTAAGAGGACAATGGAAACCTAATGTCCATTCATAGGAAGGTTGACTGAATAAATAATACATCCATATGATGGAATACTACATAGCTGCTTTAAAAATTCTCTTATGTGGCAATGTGAAATATGTTGAGTGAAAAATCCAAGTTGCACAACAGTATGCGTATGAAAGGCCCATTCATGTAAAAATGAATGTATACATTTGCACTAGTAAAGATATTTTCAGGGACTACTCACAAGACACTTAAAAGTAGTTGTCTTTGGGGAATGGGAAAAAAACGATTTGCGCTGTTTAAATTTTTACCCTGAACACATATCACATGTATAATACATGAATCAAAAATCATTAGACTAAAGTTAGTAATTGTTTAAAGTGCTTTTTCATACAGAACTGAACTTCCATTGTATTTACTTTACATATTATAAAACCACTAAGCGTAGCCAGCATATCTTAATCTAGTCAAAGTAAATATTAACAACATTGTGATTCTAAAGACATGTATAAAATTCATGACAAGAGGACTTGTCCCCCAATTTCATCAGCCACATGTAAAATAAATTTCTGCTCTGTAAAAATATCTGGCTGAACATCCTTCACTGAATCTTATAAAAATCTTTAATCTCGTGGTGGCAGAGAACTCTACATATAATCAAGTTTGAAGACAGGTTCTTATAATGCACTTAAAAGAATCTAGAAAGTTTCTGCCCTTCCCTTTTAGCATCTCCCGTATATATCGTGGTCTCGACACTGACAGCATTAACATTAGTCTTATACTGAACTACGTGTGTCTTGCTGCTACTTGGTAAAGGAACTTGCAGATACATCTGAAATACTGTCTCTTGAAAATATATCCACAGCTCCACAATTTGGAGGCCAGAAGCCAGAGGTGGCTTAAAAAAAAAAAAGAGAGAGAGATTCAGGTTAGATTTAATGAAATTAAAGACTTAAACATATGGTGACACTGGCCCACTTAAACAACGAAGTCCCAGGACATCGCAGTTATGTTATGAGACCACAAATCTCTAGAGATCAAAGAAAATTTGTCCGAAGGAAGAATAAAGGTGGAAGGTGCTTGGAAAGAAACCCTAAAGGCAACTCACAAAACCGTGGGCGGGTGGAGGGGAGAGGGAAATCCAGCTTCCGATGCTGGGAACTAGACAAGAAAAAGAGGACTAAATGGAAGTTAAGTGGAAAAGCAAGAGAAGACACACATTTCAAAAGGAGGGGATGGGGGAGGGAGGGAAAGACGAGGACAGGAGAGAAACAGAGGTGATGGGTCAGGGAGCAGCTGGAGTTTGGGGCACCAGGAGGGCTAGGCTGGGTGGAGACCGAGGTTGGAAGGGCGGGGGAGGATCCCACCGGGAGAAAGCGGGAAAGGGGCGAGGGGAACCCCGGGCCCGCCCCACACCCCACATCCCTCCCCGCCGCCCGGCTTCCCCATCTGGGCGGGGGCAGCGTGTCAGGAGTGGCCGCACGTGTGTGCGAGGGGTGGCGGGGTGGTAACTGGCACCGGGCGCCGCGGGGACAAGGGCCGGAAGGGCCCGGGGGCACGGCCAGGAGCCGCGGGCCGCCTCACA